AAGTTGTTCCCCTAATTCATCACTCCTTTTCAACTCTCGGATCTCTTCTTTCATAAGTTTGTTGAACATCTGAGAGAGATACTCGTCTTCTTCAAACAAATTCAGAAGAGACTTTAAGAGCTTGTCTGCTTCTATACCCCCGGACCTAAATAATTTCATCAAGTCCATGTATAGTCTGAGTTTCGGTGAACTTAGTCTTTCTCCGATGCGGTTCGTTATATCGATAAAGTATTGATTCCACTCGGATTTGCTCTCAGTCATCGCCTTGATCTAGATTTTGTTTTTCTTCTCTTTGGAATAAATATTCGTATGTGTCATGTGTGTATGTTTATTTATTAGGGAAACGATTTGTTTAGTTTGACAAAGATAAGAAAATTATAATCGTACGTTCTTTAGGATTCTGAATTCTAATTTGATTCGGTATAGTTTTTTCATTCGGGAATTTACAATCCAATCAGGATTATAACAATCAGGTAGTTGGTATCTTCTTTTTATCAACTGGAAATTGAAAAATGTGATCATGACTCATGAGGTTGAAAAAAAGTGCAAAGTTGTGACATATATGGGAAGGTGGAAATAACACTAACCATACGGAAAATTTTGTTCGGAGCTTCTTTGTCGTACTACCTAGCAACAACATTAATTACAAATATGAGATAACATAAAAAGTAATCAACTGGTCATTTTTTGTTTGAAAAATTCAATTGGTCATTGACTCAAAGGACTAGTAATTTAGTCATGGTTACCAGTATGAGACCACATCGCTAGGGAAGCTCATCACTATGGGGAAGGGAAGCAGACCTTGCTTCTCAACCTATTGGTTAGCCGCATCAACAACTAGATGCTTCTTTTGCAGCAATATCGGCTTTTTTACCAATGACCATGTATGGGACAGGAAGAAAGAGGAGCTGAAAACGTCCCATTTACTGAAACTTATTGACAAGACTTTTTTGTGTGGTCAAGTGTATAAGTCTTCAGTTTAAACTCGTGACACCTTCATTAGCATGAATCTTATGATGGTTAGGGATCACGGTTAATGGACAGTAGAGGAGAGCAGAGAGAAGCTTATTAAAAGGATTGGTACATGGTTTTCTTAGTGAGTTTGGAATTTTGATTTTGATTAATTAGTGGGTTTAATGGAAAATTTGATTTTATCATGTCAATTATCAATCGGTACAAAAGTAAAGATTTAGAGAAGATATTATTAGTGCACTACCTTTTTTTTTTTGAAACTTCATAGTGACAAAACGAGTTACGTTTTGCTACTGGACTATTATTCTAATAAAAAAAAATGGGGTTTACTTTTAGCTAATTATTGTCACAAACAAATTGGGTTTCTGGATGTTGGGAGGGATGGATAAGAATTTTACACGCGCGATTATTAACACAAGAATTCGAGCCGTGTAAAACTTTATAGTTTCTACGTGTGACATTTATATTGAAATTTAGAAAGATTAATTAAAGATTTCTTTAGTTTGAAACATCACTAATAAAAAACTTTATAGTTTCTTAAATTCAATATTTTATTAGCTAATTCTTCGGCCTTGGGCTCTTTAGCCTTGATTTTTGTGTGACTAAACCGTTGCTAAAGCTGGTCAACTTTTGAAAATAGTTTGTTGTCAAACTGTACGTAAAGCTCTACTAGCACGATTTTCTTCTCTGTTTATCACGTACAATCCTTTGTGCATCTCTAGAAGTTAACCATTGTGAGAGACAATGGTGTACGCCTCCTCC